GGCGGGCCCACCAGCTGGCGGAGCGCGGCGGCGGCGTTGGCGGCCAGCTGGCGCAGCAGTGCCGCCTGGCGGCCGCTGAGGCGCAGCGCTAGCGGCGAGCCGGCGTTCACCTCCAGCGCGTGGCCGGCCACCAGCGTGGTCTCGAGCACGCCGCCCGGCCGCTGCCGCTCGCACACGATAGCCGGCGCCAGCGTTACGCGGAAGTCACACCTGGCGGGGCGCCGGGCGACGTCACAAACACGGAGTGACGTCGTGAGCGCCGAGTGACGTCACTGCCCATGGGTGACGTCATTGTCAGGGGGATGTCCCTGCCGAGGGGTGGTAGCATGGTCATGGGGGTGACGTCCATGCCACCTTGTGAAGTCAGGGGTACGCAGCGATGTCACTGTCGCGGTGCGATGTCCGGCTGGCGGACACAGAGCACGCCGCACGCGGGCAGGAGAGGAACTGGGCGGCTCGTGACGAGCAGCCGTCTCACATTAGTCCAACTGACTGAATTGTCTGAGGAATTCTGACAGCCAGTTCCACTGGGAGATAGACGTGGTAGCCGACACGAGACAGCGGAAAGGCGAGATACAGCCCATCAGTAGCGCGAGGGCGTGGCTCATATCCGGTGGCATACAACGGGATCGAAAACAGCAAGTGCCGCATCTCAACCAAATCCCAAGAGACCTACTCGTCCAGCACAGACGTCATGATGACATCTCTCGGGCTCTGAAGCGGATTGTAGTTGTTCCATTCGACGGCAGGGTTCTCTCCCATTGTCCTCAGCGTCTGGGACGTCTGAGGTTGTGTGTAGTCCGACATTGCCAGCACCTCCTCCCATAACCCTGCCGAGAAGCGTCGCAACATTTTACCACCTGTCCACAATTTATCGGACCCTTCCAGTCCGATGACCTTCAGCGACACAGCACGAATCTTACATGATCGTGTTTTTATCGAAAAGTAACGTCCAATTTGGAAAAAAAGCAAAGCATTATGGACGACCATAGCACGAAGCCGGACGGATTTGAATTGCAATTTTCCTTTCATGGTGGATCGGAACAATACATGCACCGATAAACAACAGCCGGCGGTTCTGTCAGTTTGCAAATAGCAGTGCCCCCGCACAAAGAAACACCACCCAAAGCTGCTCGTCACAGCACTCCTCTCCCCTGCACAAGCCACTGTGCTGCAGCCACTGAGGGCCAGCCGGGCGCCTCTCCCCACATTCAGCGGCTGGTCGCCGGCAAGCGGACGCACCTGTGGCCACCAGCACGCCGGCCACGTCCGCCTGGTAGTGTCGGTCCTCCACGTTGGCGCCGGGCACGCTCCAGAGGCCAGCCCGCTGGGCGGCGCTGCAGAGGTCGGGTCGCAGCACGGGTCGCGACAGTGGGAACTCGGCGGCAGGCTCCACGCGCAGCCGACCCACGCGCAGCAGACACAGCTCGGCGCCGGCCGGCATGAACACGCGCACCAGGTCTGCCGACACGTACAGCAGCGGCAGCGCCCTGCTGCTGAGCGCCGGCCGGCGCGGCGCCGCCGCCGCCGGCGTCAGCCGCTGGTGCGCCAGCAGCGGCGCCAGCAGCGGCTCCAGCAGGCCGCTATACGGCAGCACGATGTCCGGCGTCAGCACCAGGTCGCACGGCTTGAGCCGCACATCCAGCTCGGTGAGGCAGCGGCCGCCGGCGCCGGCGCCGGCGGCCGGCGCGCCCCACTTCTCCAGCACGCTGGAGCGGAGCGCGCTGGTCCAGACGACTGAGAGGAGGGCGCGCTGCGGTGCCTGGCCCGCCGCCGCGCCGCCCTCGGCCGTCGGCGCGGCGGCGGCGGCGCTGGCGGCGCTGGCGGCGGCGGCCGTCCGCGCCGGCACCACCGTCAGCTCCCGCGTCAGGCGCCGCGAGCTGGTGAAGATCACCTGGCACGCCTCCGGCCGCGCCGCCGCCGACCCGCTGAGGAGGGCACATCGCGGTGATATGACCACTAGTGAACAGTGTCGTCGGATGCGTATCTCTGGCCGATTTCTTCCACGCTTGTTTGCATGACTCGGCGGCGTATCGCGACTGCACGCAATGGTCGTCGAGCACGACTGGTTTGCCTGTTCGGTGCAACGCCGCCACCGACACTGACGTCATTCATTCCAAAGCGACATGTCCGATCCCCAGTTCTCTTCACCAATCTCCTACCACCTATTCAAATCAAGCCCCGCATGAACAACGCCCTGAGCGGCACGTTAGCGCGCCGGGCCTCCGCACGTGCTGACCTGGCCGGCTGGCGGGACACCTCCAGCGAGGCCACGTTCAGCTTGGCCTTGGTGTAGACGGGCTGGGCGTCGACGGACACGGCCAGGTCCTCGACGGCCATCAGCAGGTGGTCGGTGCCGGCCGGCCCGAGCATGCGGGCCGAGACGCGCGGCAGCGTCCACTGCAGCCAGACGGAGACGGGCCGCGGCGGGGCGCGCTCGCCGGCCGCGCCTGACCGCGTCCCCCGCCGCGTCAGCGCGGGGCAACAGGGCGCGCACGGGACAGATAGCACGACATCGGGTCAACAGCTGGCCATCAATACACTGACACCTGTCAGCGTCAGGCAGGCTGACAATCGTAAAGTGACGGGTGCAAAAGCCCCACTCAAATGCAGCTAAACTCTCCGTCAGCCCTCACAGAAAAATACTAATGGAGCCATCCCACGCGCGCGTCGCCACTGTGACCGGGCGGGCACCGGTGAAGGTCGCGGCTCGGGCATGGCCGACACCCGGTGGCCAGGGCCGGCCGTGCCCACCTGAGGTGTCCGAGGCGTGATCCAGCGGCCGCAGTCCCGCGATCTCCTCACTCAGGCTGGCGCGCGTGCCACCTGCGGACCAGTCGCAACAGGTGTCACGGCCTGAACACCGCAGCCAGCCAGCTGGCAGCCAGGCCGGCCGCCACCAGCGCCGTGTGCCCCTACACAAGTCACCATCCGCCTGACAGCTCCGCAGCTGACAGCGCACACAGACCTACACAAGCGAGGCGTCATTTGTGCGGACTCGCGATGCGGCAGCGGTACTTACTGTCCACTTTGAAGTCGTCGCGGAAGACCTCTGGACAGGGGGCGGCCATCAGTGGTGAAAGGCTGTCGAGCACCGCAAAACACTGCTCCGCCACAAACGCCAAGCCGTGAATCTGAAAAACCGACACTCCTGCGTTAAGAAGCACTAGGGTTAAGGAGTGGGCGTAGCTGGTCTCAGCGGCATAAAAACAGGCATGCGGCGCATGAGCGGAAAACACCGCGAGGCAACATAAAAACTGTGGCGATGTTACTGGATAGCGCAATGTAAGAGGCCAATGCTCAGATGCGTTATAGGCTCTACTTTGACCGCCCGATGGAGGAACTCAACTCATACTCAAAGATGAAGGTTACGACGTCGACGACTGGCAACTCATGCGGGTCGCATCATTGACATTACAGCGTTATTCCCATGGCCGGCCTGGAATGCTCCAGCTTCACTGGTAACCAACAGATCCGATCCACTGGTCGCGCACTTCCCTGACAGGCCGGACTACCCGGCCGATCCCAACAGGGACCAGCCCGTGGGATGGGCGATTACCCAGCAGAGGGCCGCTTCCCGCCGGTGGCAGATCCCCGACCCGATCGCCCCAGGCCGGGAGTGGCCCCGGGCCGGCCGGGGGTGGCCTCGGACCCCCACCTCACCTGGTGTTCAGCCAGCGTCAGCTCCAGCTCCGGCATGTTGGCGTGCAGCACCAGGCTGAGCGGGCCGTCGGCGGTGGCCGCGCTCAGGCCGACCGTACACTCCACGTCGACGGGCGCCACCAGCGGGCAGCGCTGGCCGCCCTCCAGCTCCACGTACACCTCGCCGCCCGAGAGGCGCACCGACCACGGGGCGCTCGGCCGCCCTGCCGCGCACACCAGGGGAGCGGTGAGCACGGCCAGCGGTACACCGACGGTGAGCTAAGACTCGCCGGACGGCGAGCACATATTCAGAACAGATGGAGGACAGACAGCTATCTGTCAGGCGTCAGCACAATGGATTAACGATAGAAGAAGTCGCGCTCGCAAAGTTACACGTTCTCCGTGGTGGTACAGAAATTCGTGACATTGCAGTCATAAGACGGACCAACCTGAGCCATCCTGCACGCTCATCCTCACCCGCAATCGAGCAAGGTGGCTGGGGCACACGACAAGAGCGCACGCACGCACGCATATATCCCCGTGCCAATTGGTCCAACACGTTGGGAGGAGCGAGTGGCCGTCACTGACCTGCGGATGGCGCCGGTTCCGGCAGCCGGACAGGCACCTCTGGCACCAGCGGCAGCGCCGAGCCCTTGAGAGCGGCGCTCACCACCCGCAGGCCGGGCAGCACCGACACCAGCTGGCCCTCGAAGCAGTACGCGCTGTAGGTCGAGCTGCTGCTGCGCACGCGGCCGGGCAACGGCGCGGCCGGAGCGGCCGGCAGCGGCTGCTGGTCGGCCGGCGGCGGCGCCGCGCCGCCCACCGGCGCCGTCAGCGTCACCGGACTAAGCCGCAGCCGCACCTCCAGCCGCTCCAGCGGCGGCAGCCAGGCCGGCGGCGGCGGCGGTGGTGGAGGAGGCGGCGCCGCGGCCGGGGACGGCGGCGGGCGCGCCCGGCCCACCGCCGTCTCGGTGGTGGCGCTGCGGCCCGAGCGTGACGGCCGCGAGCCGTGCGGCCGCGGCATGTCGGCCGCCGCCGGCGAGCGGTGCCCGGAGCGCGTCGAGCCGCGCTCCTCCGGCTCCGGCTCCGGTGGCGGCGGTGGTGGCGGCGGCGGCGCGGCCGGCGGCGGTGTCAGCGCGCCCACGGCCAGCGCCAGCCAAAGCAGCAGCGCCGGCTGCCAGCAGAGCAGCGCCGGCTCGGTGACGGCCACCAGCACGGGCCGGCCGTGCTCGGCGCTCGGCCCAGCTGGCAGCTGCAGCAGCGCGCGGCCCGCCCGCTCGCCGCCCGGCTCGGCCGCCTGCGGTGCCGCCAGCAGTGGCCGGCCAGCCAGCTGGCACCGCACCGAAGTGAGGCTAAGCGCCGCCGCCCGGCACCAGGCCGTCTCCGAGAGCTTCACGTCCAGGCCGCGCACATCCGTCTGCACGGCCGCGTGCAGGTCTGGAACGCCACCGACAGGGCACAAGCTGAGCTGAGTGGATGAATGATAGCGGCACATGCATACGTCCGCACGACCTTCATTGACATGACGGTGTCCTAAGATGCGTTGATGGAGACAGCCGACAATCAGCATGGTGAACCGTCCACACCCTTTCATCGATTCTCCAGATTCTCCAGTTCTGTAACAACTACTCATCTGCCAACCATACGCTACGTTTTTGTCCTAACACAAAGTCCCCTTACCGCTTATACATCATTACCAGTCACTCCAAACGAGTATCCACCGGCGAACACCGGCAAGCGCGCGAGGCAATGACACCCTGCAGCGCGCTGTCAGCCAGGACGCGCCACACACCTGGTCCGGCGAGATCCACAGGTGGCGCCACGTGTGCCGGCTGCAGCAGCGCCCGGTACAGCTGCAGCAGCTCGCCGCCCTGGTGGGCGCTCAGCTCGGCGTGCAGCCAGTCTGACGAGCAAACAGAGTGTGAGAGGAGAGCCGGCCTGACCGGGCGGCAGCGGCCGGCAACGGCCCACGGCTGCCCGCGTGTCAACTGAGCGTAACTTGACGTAGTCACCGATAAAAGTGGCCACGTACGTGACCTACGGAATAAGGGAGCCAAGTGGTCACTACCGCCGCAATGATAGAGGGCAGTGACCCATCCGCCTCATATGCATAACCTGCCATGCCCTTTCGGACATTCTGTGATTCGCTTCGTTGAAAGCTGCTGTCAGCACAGTTACGGCGGCTCACAAGGAACCTCCCTCCCCCCCCCCCCCCCCCCGGTTCCCAGCACCTACACGCCCTCCCCCCCCCCCCCATCGGTGTTTTCCCTGATCAGCCACGAGGGTTGTCGGGCGTCGGCGCACCTGCGTGGAAGATCCGCTCACTGAGGGGCTGCTCGGCGCCGGCCCAGAGCGACGGTACCAGCAGCGCCTTCCAGTACAACTGAGGCGGAGGAGAGCGAGGCGACGCGCCGCTCGACACCAGCCGACACCAGCGCCACCTGGCCCGCCGTCACCTGGCGGACGGATGGAGAAGCTACAGTGCTGTCGGCGCCGGCGGGCGGCGGCCTGCGCCCATCGAGCTGAACAGCGGCGGGAAAGAAGCAGGGCCAGGCGGCTCACTGGCTGGCTGAGATAACGGAGAAGCGGGGCCAGGCGGCTCACTGGCTGGCTGAGATAACGGAGTTTTTTCAAACGTGTTTGGTGTTTGACAATGCTCGAGGTGCGTGACCACGCCTGCGTCGCGCGTCACACACACATCGGTTAGAATCATCAGAAATTTGACAAGCCCACTACGGTTTAAGGTACACACCAGCCCTTTGGCCCGCGCCAAACTTAAGCGATTGGCACAATCAGACCGCACGTCAGAAAAAAACGCACATACACATATGGCACGCGACATGACACAAGGACTCAGAAACTAGCGCCTTGACGTCTGCCAAGGCCCAGGCCCGCCCGACTTCACGCCGGGGCAGCACGCTCCGAGCCGGACACCAGTGACCGCCGACGCTGCCGCCCGAACCGGTGACGGGCGCGCCGCTCCACCCCGGCCGCCCCGGCCGCCCCGGCGCGGGGCCGCCGGCCGCCGGCAGACGTACCGTGCAGCGCGTGTGGACATGGCAGTTGTAGAGCAGGGCGGCGGGCGGCCGGGCCAGCTGCGAGACGCAGCGACACAGCCGGGCCGGGTACATCGGCTGCTGCTCGTTCCACTGGATGGCCTGGCAGCGCACCTGGAGCCGCGTGCCCTCTCCCTGGTGGGACAGCACGCGCCCCGTCAGGCGGTCCAGCCGTGGCACCACGGCCCACCTTCGACCGTCGGCCTCTTGGCATGGCCGGGTGTGCAACGTGTCATCAAATCACGCGTCCAGGGGGCAGCGGTCTTACGATTACAGGACTTTGTGAACAAACCGCAAACTGCGTTGGTTCACTCCATTCACAACGTCCATTACTGCGCTAGACGTTGTCATCAGAGAGCATGTCAACCATTCACGAGTGATCCAAACCGTGGGCTGCATGTTGTACGAGGACGCCGAATGGACGCTGGACGATACATAAGTTTGCGCGGACGGCGCAGCTTTACAGTTCGCAAAACTAAGCCTGCCACGTTCCGCATGGCGGCACTGTCGTCGCCGAGCCGGCCCGAGAGCGACGCGTCTCGCACAGAAGGCCGGCGGCGCGGGACGCCTGACCTCGAACGTCGTCACCGTGGCCAGGCCAGCACGGTCAGCTGCGGCTCCAGCACGGTCAGCTGTAGGCCGCGCGCCGGTGTGTTGGCCTCCAGAGCCTCCAGCTCGCCGGCCGGCGGCGGGCCCGCCCTCGGCTCCGGCCCCGCTGCGGACGCGGGAGGTCATGACTCGGAGGATCACGTCACAGTCGGCAGCGTCACCAAAGCAATGAACACACCTGCTATGCCTCAACTCTGCAGGTCCTTAGCCCGAGCATCCCTGCACTAAGATGGCCTGGTTGCAACGCTTCTAAGGATTCGACACTCAGAATGCTGCGTCCGTATGTCCGCCACTCACGCTGCTGGCTGCGGCCGTAGGGCGGGTAGGTCGCGCTGCCGGCGGCCGCCAGCAGGTGGCTGAAGCGGTGCACGGAGCCGGAGCTGACCAGCAGCCGGCTGCGGCCCAGCACCAGCCGGAACATGGACCGCTCAGGCAGGTCGCTGCAGCATGGCGCCGGGCCGGTCACGCCGACACAAGACAGGCCACGTCCAGCCGACACACACGTCTAGGATACTTCACGTAGCGGGCAGACAGCCCAAACGGTCACATGAGCAGCGCACACACCACGGACATTCAGGCCACAAGATTGACCGCAAAAGTACAAATGGCATTACAGGAAGCATGCCATCGCGAATGGGTGAAGAAAGACGCTAAGCAAAGTGCAAATGCGCCGTGTCTAAACTTGTGACAATTCGCGCGATTACACCCGTTTAACGTATAGCAATGGCGTGACATCGGGCGCGCCATCTGAGTGGGCTCTGATCAGCTGGTGGGATGGGCCGGGCGGGCGGGCGGGCGGGCGGGCGGGCGGGCGGCGCACGGCCGCCGGACGGACCTGTACTCGAGGTCGCCGAGCTCCGAGACCGTCTCGCCGGAGTAGTCGGCCGGCAGGTCCAGCACGTACAGGTAGTCGGTGGCGGCCGCCGCCGTCCGGCCAAGTAGCCAGCCCTCTGCGGCCGACGCGGACCGGCGGCGGCGTCAGCGCACCGCACGGCCGACCCGCGCCCGCGGGAGTGCGGAGGGGCGAGCACGGGAGTGCGGACGGGCGAGCACACGACACGACCGTCGGGTCGTGATACCGCACGCCGAAACACAGACGACAGTGTTCTGTGTCGCGCGTGGATCGCGCCTCCACGCAGGACACAAACGTGTCACGTCGCCAATGAAACAAGGAAACGCAATGCGCAGTTCCAGCGCATATCTAACGCTGCGAGAGGTTGCAGCGTTGCGTGGAGAGGCAAAAGATCTAGAGTCCTGAAGCCGCACAGTGCAGCGTTTCTGGCTGATCCACAGTCACCATGTCGTTTCGTCTGGCTGGTGGCCGCGGTACTCACCGGTTCTCTCGCGCATGTGCGTGTCCCAGTGTATGTCGTAGAGGCGTCGGGTGTCCACCGGCTCGGGCTGAGCGTCCGCGAACAACGAGCCGGACATGTACGCCTCGCCCTCCTGGCCCATCTCGAAGTAGCTGACCTGCCGGCAGGGGTCACCACGGTCACCGCTGGGGTCACCAGTGTAGCTTCAGTCACGGTGTTCGGTCATACGGTCTAGACATTTGACACACCACAGCTGCTGGTCTGGCACTGGGACCATTGTCACGGTCCAAGCCTAAAGTAAGACACGGCGCGGGCGCTGTAGTCACGTTCACACGAGAGACAACAGCTGGTGACAGCTGGTGACGGTTGCACCGTTCTCCAGTCCGGACGCCGACGCACGGCAGTCTATCCTGCCTCTGGCGGCCGGTCCGCTGCACCAGGACCCACCTCTGGCGGCCGGTCCACCGCACCAGGACCCACCTCTGGCGGCCGGTCGGGCGCTGGGTGCCGGCCGCATGTGCAGCCGCCGCACGGTCGCACCGACACGTAGCTGACGCCCCAGCCGGCGCTGACGGCCTGCACGCCGCGCAGCACCGAGCTGACGAAGGCGCCGGTGGCGCTGGCGCGCAGGTACGGTGTGAAGCGGGCGCGCCGCTGCGCTGACTCCCGGCTCGGCTCGGACATCTGCCGGAGCGGTGGCGGGCGTCGCGTCATACGCGCGCCACACTCAATCTGCTCCTCGTCAGATCGGAGGTCTCCTAGTGACTGGTTTTAGGGCACATCGATCACTTGGCTAATGTTTTCGAGGAAGGGGAGCAGACGCTATCTTCCACATGTATCTGTTCAGTCTTGCACATGCTGCCGAGCGAAGTCGATACGCTTGCCAAACATACATCAGAGCGTTTACAGCACACCGTTCCAGAGCGCCATGTCCAACCTTACATGGAGAGGTACGGTCCGGAACGTCTCACTTTAAACACCGTGCCGACCCACCCCGCACAAGCGCCGTCACGCAGAGCCCAGGTGCCCGCATCAGCGTCGTACCTTGAACACCATGTCGGCGCGCCGCACGTGCACGGAGAGATGGAAGACGCGCTCATGGGCGGCCAGGCGGGCGTCGTCGTCCGCGTCGTCATCCTCCCAGGTGAGCGGCAGCATCGACATGGGTGAGGGCACCGCCGACCAGGCCCAGTCGACCCAGGAGGCGCCCGGCACCGTCGCCTCCTCCTCGCCCGCACCTGGGCATCACAGGCCGCCGTCCGGCAGGCATCAAGCTCGATGTTTGACCCCAGGTCACCGGGCGGTTGGCAGTGCACGCGGTCTGGCCGGACGAGAGTGTCACTGCAGTCTAACTGCTTGCAGCACGTAGCATGTCAGTGGTTGGCATCTTTACCATTACATGATCTAATGTGTACTCTTTTTCTTGTCTTTCTCGTTACTGTCTCAAAAGATTCTCTCCAGTTGCATCATATGTACAATCGCGAAGCGGGCGCCTGCGCCGTTTCGCACCGCCGCCTCTACAGGTAGCGGCGCATGTGCCAGCGCCTGCGTCACTGTCCATGTCGGGTCCATTTTCGCATCATGCATTTGCTTCCACGTTAGCACCAGCGCCCTGACAGTGCCGGCGACGATGGCAGCATTAATGACCGCATGAGCGCCATAACCATCGCCCGAAATGGCCTCCGACCAATCTTACATGTGGGCATGCATTAAAACGGACGCCAGCTCACAGACAGTGTCAGTGCGCATACTCCTGCCTGCCGCGCGTCACCACCGGCGCCGGCGCCAGTGCTGACGGCCGCGCCAGTGTCGGCGCCAGCGCGCGCCACCTACCTTGTCCGGACGGGTCGTCGGCTGGCCGGCCGGCTCTGTCCGGCGTCAGCTCCCCGAACAGTAGGGCCCGCGTCAGCTCCAGCAGCCGCAGGAACATGGGCACCTGCACGTCTGCCGCACGCACGGACAGACACGCTCCGTCAGATGACACGTCCGCTGACCTCATGCGGCACAGTCTTCAATCGCATGCCATCACCGTCTGCCATCCTCTGAGCGCGCCCAAAGGTCTGCACGATTTGTCAGGGTTAGCGTTCGCGTACCCGAAGGCATGTCGGGGCTTACTTAGTTAGGAAGTTTAAAAAAGTTTCTGAGCAGTGACGATATCAGAACAGGTGCGGCAACCATTCAATGATGCAGCTGTCAAAATGGCGCATGATAATGAGCAGTCACCTGACATAATACAACCGAGCCCACGTCTAAGGCTGCTACGCCAGGGCAAGCTATGGTGCGCCATGACCCGCAGCGTCCGACGCGGTGACTCAGCTGGTCCGTGACGGAGAACTCCAGCTGCGGAAGGAACAGCAACTGACCTGTGACCGAGAACTCAAGCTGCAGAGAGAACGGCAACTGACCTGTGACGGATAACTCCAGCTGCGGAGAGAACAGCAACTGACCTGTGACGGAGAACTCCAGCTGCGGAAAGAACAGCAACTGACCTGTGACGGAGAACTCCAGCTGCGGACAGAGCACGTCCACCCGGGTGACGTCCGCCACCGGCGAGTGAAGACCGCTGAACTGCTGCTGGCAGCGCAGCTCCAGCGAGCAGCGGTACAGCAGGGGCTCCTGTGAAGCCCCACCATTGTCAGGGGGACTCACTGCGGCACCGCGGCGCCTCCCTGGGCGCGTCATCACGTCACAGGCACTGTCAGCAGCACAGGGAAGGCCCCTCGTGATAGTGTTGCGGCAACTGGCAGCAATACAGCGGTAGCCCATGTGACGCCATAATGACGTCAGACGGCCAACGTGGTACAGCAGCGGCTCTGGTGACCTCATGCACAAATTGATGGTACTTGACGGTGGCATGGCAACGGTCCTGTGGCCTCACAATCATCACATGGACAAAACAGCAGCCGAGCAAAGGCACAGTCCTACAGCGTCATAGTGATCAGTGTCAGCAACATAACTTGAATACTGTGCACATGCAGTATTCAGTTTCCGTTGTCGGTGTTACCTAGCATATATGTTATTTTTGGGTCCTGGACTTAACTGACTGTAAACACAGAGCAAACATTGGGTTTGCCTTCCAGTGCCCACTGCACCAGTTTAGTGGTAAACATTCGGACGTAAAAATGTGTGATGCTGCTCAAACAGAACGAACTTTTCAGCCGTGCGCCGCAGCATCTCTTTTCTTTGGCATTTTGTGGCAGTAACACTCTTCAATGTCTCTGAACTATAGTCATGTATTCCCTTACCTGGTAGCTTTCAATTTTTCCTGACGCATTGCGCCGGTCCAAGCAGACAGTGAAGTCCGTGAAGTTGACGAGCTTTCGCAGAAACAGCAGTGGTGGTGCGAAATCTGACGTGGAAAGGCCGGCAGGTAAGGAATGGCGCAGCGATGGCAGTCCTGGTAGCCACCCCACTTCAGTACAGAAACCAACACACACTAGCGAAAAAAAGTCAACGCTGAAGTACGAGAAAGTTGTCCTTTTCCACCATTAGTGCACACGTCAAATACCATAAAGATGTACAATGCATTGCAATTTGGATTTGGACGTCTCTGAGCGCGACGGAACGGTCGCAGCGAGAGCGACCTGACAGCTCGGTGGAACCAGAATTTACCGGTAAAAGCTGGTTTCCAAAGGTGGTCAGCAGAGCGTGAGCTCACTGTCCTGACGTTGATGCTAAGCACGATATCGTCTTCCACATATTTCAGGATCAGGTTGTTGCACACGACGCTGATGTTGTTCGTTATTTTCTTCACCAGCGTCTGGATGTAGCCGGGAGGCACTTCATCGGCCTCCAATGCCTTCCTGATGGGAGAAAACGAGACAAGAGTTAACAGCTACAGTAATACGTTTGTCACTATTCAAACGCTTCTCTGGCATGACTTCAACAACGGCACGTTCCCAGATCAAACACCAAACGAGCACAGAGCACTTATTATTCTGGATTGCACCACGCATAGCGTAACAGCTGCGGTCATTGGCCCGATCTCCGGCGCCAACTGCAGCAGGAGGATCTCACTGCAACGGTCCGCAAATCGATCAAAACCCTCCGCTAATCGGTGTGTGCCACAACACTGAGCGACGGAGAGGCTCAGTCACCACGTGCGGCGATCGGTCAACAGCCAGAGTCAACTCACGGCATCGCGTGCACGGGAACTTTCCGACATCCGCCTGAACACAACGCATCTACAACATCCGTTCAATGGCCACCCCCCAAATCCGACGGCCTTATGACGCAGACGCGGAGCTTTATGAACACATGGGCAGTAAACGCCACATGTACTTAGTCGATTTGGAGGGGCTGTGCCATCACGAGCTCCGTGGTCACTCTGCCACTCACTTTTGACGGGAGGGACGCTGCTTGGATAGGGACGCTTCGCTGCTGCCGTCTGACACGTCCGTTCGGTCCGACTTACTCGGCAGACGCATGACACACTCTGCAACGGACCAAGGTAAAGTGTCGCCAGCCGCGGCTGAAACAGGCATGGCGTGCGTCTGGACAATGTGACGCGGGTGCCTAGGTTCGAACAGCGCACTGTTCTATCACGCACGTTAACAGCTAGCAGGCGCTAGACATTCAGCTGCAACCAATAAATGAAACACACTGGCCACGTGTTTTGAACCTTCATTCAAGCCATCTATTAGTCAATGTGATACACGCTGCAAGCGTGGGCATGAGGCCGATGGCGAGGCGAAGGGTGGGCCACCTACCCATGGTGTCGATGGTGACGACGATGGGCTCGGAGGTGATCTTGTGCCAGGGCACGTGTATACGCATCTCGTGGATGTGTCCGTTGACAAACTGCAGTGGCAGGTTGAGCTCGTGCTCCAGCACGTCGGTGCGCAGGTCCAGGTTGCTGAAGACGGCATCGCCGCCCCACAGGGACACCTGACGGGTACCACACCAGTCACAGGTCATGTCCCATACCCAGATGTAGCACAGGTGTTATCTGCTGATGCATTCATGATGCACCAAACAGCGCTCCTTGTTAATGATGCAGCTACTCACACCATTTGGAGCATGACCACTGATGCAACCAGTACACACTTGTTAAGTCACTGTACCATGGATATATGATGCAATGTGCTCACATAAAAGGCACAGACAGTGGAAATAAACTTAAAACACAGCAATAAAAGGTCAAGTAATTAAAAATAAATTATGAAACTTGTGGCTTGGTTAGAATTCAAAAAACAATATATGTGTGTATGTATATGCAGCCACTGATGTGGCTGCATGATGCACATATTGTACATCCTACACATATGATATGAAGAGAAAAATGCTAAAAATAAAGCCTTCATTAAAAGAGCAAAAGGCTGTTGTTAAGTGGTTGATGGGCATTAGGTAAACAAGTCACATAAAGGGTAACAATGCCATGAGAAAAAATGAATAATACATGCCATAGATATTAACTCACATGACCCTCAATTGGTCAAATGAGGTTGAAATGTAAAAGTTTGACATAATGACCTTTGCCAACCTAGCCTTCAGGCAAGCCAAGCCAAATCAGTCACAAAAATATCTCACAAAACTGTTCTAGCATTTTTGCTGCAAGAGATTAGGTGATATTTGTCACTTTTAAGCAAAATTACACAAACATGACCTCAAAAAGGAGGTCATACAT